GCCAACCCCAGATCAAAGGACGCTAAAAAGGTGGACATATTTGGCAGAAAAGAATTATTCCGTGGGCTCTGCAGCGGCCGATCACTAACCACAGGCTCTGCTGGGGCAGTGCCATTTTACTTGCTGGGGCTCTGTGGAGCAGTTCAGAGAGCTGCTTCCGGAGAGTGCTAGCCCGGCCCCTTCCCTTGTCAACAAGGGCAGACTAGTCACAAGAACACCACTGCAGGCAGGGCTGGACACCCCCTTAGCCCTAGACCCCTGGCTTGAAGCATGAATGTTTGGCAGTGCGTTCCCTCAAGGTACATTGGCCTGGTAGTTCCATGCTCCATCCTGAGGTGACCAGCCACTCTGCTGTGTCCAGTGGCATCTCGTCCACAAAGCTTGTAAAGGTCTTAATCAAATTATACTCTCAAATGCAAGACCCCATCCCCCTGTGAGCTCTAAACGTCATATTGTCAAGACCAAGAGTACTGTCCTCTAGCATAAACATGGATCATGGTGTATCTGCTCGCCTAGCCAAAGCCAGCGCTGCCTTTGGAAAATTGACCAAATGCCTATGGAATGACCATGGTATTAAACTCCATGCCAAAGTAGCAGTTTATCAGGCAGATGTCCTGAATGTCCTGCTGTATGGCTCGGAGTCATGGACAACATATCGTCGCCATGTTTTGAAGCTCGATCAGTTCCATATGCATTGTCTGAGGAAGATTGCCCACGTGAACTGGTGGGACAGAATTCCTAATACGGAGGTTCTTCATTCGTGTGGTGTCATGGGCATGGAAGCAATGCTTATGAACAAACAGTTTCGCTGGATTGGTCATGTTATGGATACCAAAGATGGTCTTCTCTGGCAGCTTGCTCATGGAAAGCGCTCTATCAGTGGTCAGTATAAGCGCTATAAAGACATCTTAAAGGCCAGTATGAAGTCATGAGCCATATCTCCCAATGATCTGGAAACGCAAGTTCAGGACAGATTGTCCTGGTGACAAATCATTGTACAGGCTCTTAATTGCTTTGAGAGTCCGCGTATCCAGGCAGTGCAGGAAAAGCGCAGGATCCAAACAGAACATATAGCACCTGCAGTTGGCGACTTTTTATGTGACATCTGTAATCGGCTCTGCCAATCAAGGATTGGTTTAGTTGCTCACCAACGGTGTCATAGAAGATGAGATCCATCGATCAGTGGCTCAGTCCAAGGAGAAAATTGTCAAGACCTATAAGACAAGACTGAAAAAACTGGGTTTGTTTAGGTTAGAAAAGGGAGGACTGAGCAGGGACATGAGAGCCGTTTTCAAGTACCTAAAGGGGTGTCAGAAGGAGGAGGGAGAAAAATGGTTCTCCTTGGCCTCTGGGGATAGAACAAGGAGCAATGGGCTTAAATTGTAGCAAGGGAGGTTTAGGTTGGACATTAGAAAAAACATCCTTCCTGTCAGGGTGGTCAGACACTGGAATAAATTGCCCAGGGAGGTTGTGGAATCTCCATCATGGGAGATATTTAAGAGCAGGTCAGCTAGACATCTGTCAGGGATGATCTAGATGGTGCTGGGTCCTGCCATGAGGGCAGGGGACTGGACTCGATGACCTTTCAAGATCCCTTCCAGTTCCAAGTGTTCTGTGATTCTAAGATATATGGGTCCCCCATTTGAACTGTTGAATATCTGCTCTTGGCTGCTTCTGTCAATGAAACTGGCTTTTCTGGTGGCCATTACCTTGGCCAGAAGAGTAGGGGACAAAGTCTACCTGGGCCCTCATTCAAAGTCCCTCCCAAAGGTGGTTTCCTCTTTCCACATCAACCAGCCTGCTGGCCTGTTCTCTGCCCAAATCCACATACACCCTGGAGGAAGAGCCTTGGCATTTTACCCCGATGGAACCAGACACATCTGTGGATCTTCCCAGCTGTCCTAGCAGTTGCTGACAGGGTAAGAGAGCAGCCAGTCTCCACCCAGGAAATGTCTTCCTGGGCTGCATCCTCTGTGTGCTGTGATTTGGCTAAAGTCCCTCTGCCCACGGAGTTACAGCTCATTTGATGAGGTCACAATCAACCTGGCTGGCCCCTCTGGCACAAGCTTCAGCTTCAGACGTGTATAAAGCAGCTGCCTGGTCTTTGGTCCACATGTTGCCTCCCGGGATGCAGTGACTCCAGAGATGTTGAGAGAGTGGGACAAGCTGTTCTTCAATTTTGATTGGATAGACTCTGATCCCACATCCTTTTCTGTGGCTGAGCCACCGAGAGTAGAATGCACACGTGCAGCCGCTCACAACGTAAAGGTTACTAACCCGTTCAGAATGGCTCTTCTTGGAGCTGCACCGCATGTGTCTGCTCCAGACCCCTTGCCTTCCCGCTCTACCTCAGAGCCATGGCAAGGAGGACCAGGGCAGGTTGGGGCATCTCTGCCCTTGGTACCTGTACACAGAGGCATTCACCAGCAGAGGCAGCTTGAGCTACTCCGTGGCTAGCTCTGAGGGAAGCCGTTTGACGACTGTGCTCTGGGTCCCTGGATGCCAAGAGTGGGATGGGTATGTGCAACACATCTCGAAGAACAAGTTACAAAAGAGGCTAGCAACTGTTATTCCTACATGTCCCCTACAGGTTGGACAGGAAGTAATGGGCTCACTGCAGCAAGGGACTGTGGCAAGTCTGGGCTATGCGCCTGGGTGCTGCCTTCCCGGCACGTCTCTGCGTGCACCTCAGAGGCTCGCGGTGTCCCTACCACTGCCGAGAAGGCAAGGGTACCCCGCTACCAAAGCCCTTTTTTATCATCGGCTCGTCAGGGGTTTGGAGGTCAGTCCCTCCGATAGTCCAAGGGTCCCTCATTCCTCACTGGCAGCCCACCAGCCAGAGGAGAGTTGGGGGGAACCCGGTCCCACCCACTTGCTCCAGGTTCTGGCCCAGGGCCCTATGCGGTAGCCCCAAGTGGCCCTTCCCCACTGTATAGCAGCCCCTCCTTGGGCCACTTCCCCAGGTGCTCCCTGCTGTCTTGGAACAGGCCCTGTTAGCCTGCTGCCTTCAGGGTTTGTCTTCCGCCCCGCCCCGCCTCTGGTCCGTCCCTTTTCTCCTTCCCCCGCCTTGCCTGCGGGAAGGTTTTTATGGTGTGCCCATAGGTGCTCTAATCAGCCTCCTTCCGGCTGACTCCAAATGGGCTTCAGGTGTCCCAATGGCTGAGCCGCCATCTCTGGCAGCCTCCTCCGGGCACGTAAACCCACACACCCAACTCCCCATGTACCTGCCCTCCACCAGGCTTCCACAGCCCCCTGCTGTCGGGCTGCCACGGGGCAGTTAGGGATTGGGAACACGTTCTCGGCAGACGTGTAGTTCTGGACAGGAGCAGGTTATGGAGGGAGGTTGTGGAATTCCTGCCATTGGGGGTTTCTAGGAGCAGGTTAGACAGACTGCCCGGGATGGCTCAGTGCACGTGGTTCTGCCTTAGTGCAGGGGCTGGGGACAGATGCCCTCGCAAGGTCCCCTCCAGCCTGACATGTCCACAATTTTATTAATTCAGTGAGTCCAGGTTAAGCCTTTTGGGTCTTGAACCTGCAAGGAACCTTCTTTGCTGGCGAGTCCAAGAGCGCTCAGGACCTTTATGGATCAGACCTAGCGCTTGTACCAAAAACTGCTGACTGGACAAAGTTAAGGGAGAAAAACTGCAATTCGCCTCGCAAACAATCATGCTAATATATAGGGCATCTGAGAATCTAAAAGCACACTCCAGCGCTCACCTGGGACACTCAACGAATACATCTCGCAGAAGAAGGCATAGAGACAAAATGAAAATAGCTCCTGGAAAATACCTTTCTCCAGCGTATTTCCCTGAAAGCAGAGTCTCCTTTTGTTAGGGTTGAGAGAAGCTATTTTATGTGAGATTCTGCACCAGGAAATGCCAAGATGAAGCCATTTATCTGAGAGAGCTTCTGGAGCAACTGTTCAGTCCTCCTATTAGTCCTCCTAGCACACCAGCCGAAAAAGCTGCCCTCACCTTTTCTGCAAGTGACGTAACATTGCCTATTGCATTAGTAAGGTGGTTGGTGATTTTATATAAAACTATTTAACTCTCACATTATGCAGTCAGAAGATATCAGAGTGCTGCTCTAAAACCGACTCAGTTGTTTGAATAAAACTCAGCTACTGCCAGCCCCCATCTTTGCAGCTTACTAGTTTCTAATAAATGTTAAATACACTGTCAGGAGAGTTCTCACCATTATTTTTTTTAGCATCGCCTTGTTTAATGAACTCCTGCCAACAGGAAACTGAAATCCATTTCCTACTGAATTCTTTTTTCTCCTTGGTGTGTGTTCATTGATTTATTATTTTGCTCATGGGATTGGGAAGAAACCATCTGTACTACAAATGCCATCGAGTTTGCAGACAGATGAATGCAAAGAAGGTGGGTAAAATTTGCAGCCTCATTCCCTGGACCAGTTCTTTGTTATATCATAGTTGGTGTTGGGCTTGTGTCAGGTGTTTAAGCTATTTAAATAAATACCTTAGTAGGCAATTATCTTTGCCTGTTCTGCTGGAGCTGAACTGGCTATGCTGTATGTTTGTTTTCTCTCCCTCTTCCTCTCTGTGAGGCATTAAACAGCGAGAGAGGCAAAACCTGCACTAGATTTATCTGAGAGGTGGTGAGGCACTGGGCAAGGGGGCTCTAAGTCACAGTCCCTTGGTTATGTGCCTCACTCTGCCACTAACTTCTTGTATTCCCTTGGGTAAGTCACTTAACTAGGGCTCACTTTTCGAGAATGGGAGTAATTATATCAAGCTCACAGGCTGCTTGGGTGACCTAATCCATGCACCATCAGTTCAAGTACTTTGAGGTCCTTGAAAGAAAGAGGCTAAATACTGGTCAAGTATTATTAACGAACGTGGTTCATTACTGTTATCTTGCAGCGCTGGCAGCGCTGGGCAGCCGGGGAGTAGCAGCTGGGCGGGGAGAGTGCGTGAGGACTTGCTATTGTGTTCTGCCGAGCCTCTTGATGGACGTTTTCTGCTGCTCTCTCCACAGTTCATGGCATTAAGTGGACATGCAGCAATGGGAACAGCAGTTCAGGGTTCTCTGTGGAGCAGCTTGTACAGCAGATCCTTGATAGTCACCAGACCAAACCACAACCTCGGACGCACAATTGTCTCTGCACCGGCAGCTTGGGTGAGTAGCTGGATGAGGGCAGAGAGCAGACAACTGGGCGAAATCCTCTTCTAAATCAGAACTCAAATGCATACCCAGAAACCCCTCTGCATATAGCGATCCGCTTCAATTCCTGTCCTAAGAATGGAGCTTGTGAGCCCCTGCTAGGACGCTGCTATCGAAAGAAGGCTCAAGGGGCTCACCCCCTACTTTTCTGTAGTTTAACAGGCCACCGTGTTCGGCAGCAGATTACATTCTTTATGGTGACTGCTGAGCTCATGCAAGGTGTTCCAGGCATCAGAATGCGGATTTGGGATCCCCACTATGTTACTAACTACTGTGATCATGTGCGAATCAGCCCTTCCGCAAAATCACCCTTATTTGATGGAATAAAAATTCTGCTAGAATAAAAACCCCACTGGGCAGCAGACTAGAAGTCTCTGGGAAAATCCATGAATAAGATGTTATCTGCTATGAAATGCTGAACGTCTTTCTGTTTCCTTTCTCTCTTCATGGGCGCACAGATTGCTGCTCTAATCTAGGCTCCGCGTAGTCTTTGTTATTTAACTCTTAAATATTTTGAGATACGGTTAATGCAGGAGTAAGTGACGAAAACTCAAACTTATTCAAAGTGCAACTTGCATTTTTGTTTTTTGTGGTTGTTTTTTTAATATGGACACTGACGTGCAAGCTTTTAGAATTCTTCAGTGCTCTCTACTGACGGCTTCCTCCAGAAAGCATGTTGTATCCTGGAGCTTGCTCAAATTGTGTGACTGACATTTCCTGAGCCCCATAAGCCCTACAGTGCGCTGTTCATCTATAGGGCATCTCAGGAGGTTAATTACAAGGTAACAAAGAGTGAAAATCCACAGGGGGGGCTTTTTTAGTGTTAATGGAAAGAATGAATGAAAACTCATTCCTGTTGAGAAGAGTTCAGCTTGACTGAGATTGCCTGAAACATCGTCTCTCACATTAGAACTTTATAATAAGAAATAAGAATCTGAGTGATTCACTTTTCCAACTCAGCTGCCTCATCCCAGCTGCCTTTTGCTGTAAAACGTACAATAATTAATTAGTCTTCGGAGAAATTGGCCAAAGAAAAATACGATCTTTGCTTCAGATATTTTCCCCCTGTCTTATGCAATTAAGATTTAAGTAAGACTGATGACCTCTGCAATACCTAGGCTTCAATTAAATTCAACCCCCGAGGATCAGCACTTGATCCAGGCTGGCAGATCTGAACATGAATTCTTGTATTTGTCCCTTTGATGTTTTGTCTTATGCTAAGTCTGCTGCTTGCTCTGTAACACAACAGTAACACTTTGCTTTACGGCACCTCGCATCTTGACACAGACATCCCCACCTTATTACAGTTGCATACAAAGATTGCAACTTGGAAGCCTTTTGCTGGTTCTTGTTCAGCTCTGTTCCTCGAAGAACGGAGAGATTTACTATTGCATTTAGCTTCAGAAGATTTGTTCTGAGCTACTTTCAGTGACCTGCTTCAGATCCTGCACAAATAATAGAGAAGCTCCCCTTCAAGGGCAAGGAACAAAGAGAGTTAGTAAATTATAGCAGCCACAGCCACTTTATGGTCCCCAGAAGAAGGCAGTTGTAATTGTAGCCATTAGCTAGGAGGAGAAGGTTTCTTTACCCATTAGGTCATTATACTGTGCAATAATTAAGGTTCTTCCCTCTTTCTGGGAAAACTGAATCAATTAGGAGAAGAAATATCAAAAATTCATGGGCTCTGCTTCTCAGACAAAGCAGCCCCAGTGCCAGATTTTGTGGTGAAAAGACATTCACAGAAAGAATCATTGACTCCAGCCAGCTTAATTTTGCAGCTCCCGGAAAGAAGCGACACTCACCCTGGCATGATGGGGCGAACTTCCTATCCGGAATTGCTTTCTAGTGACCTTTCTTCACTGGCTTTTCATCCTCTCTGGGACTAATCACCAATGTACAAAACCTTTAAACACCAAAATGTTTGAGCTGTCAGCCCATGAACTGAATGCAAGTGACACAAGAGCTACACACTGCAGTTCTTCTGGGAGGGGAAAGTTTTCTCTGCTCTAATTTCTCTTTAATCATTTGGCCACCACCTGTAATTGGGCACAGTACTACGAAGGCATGCCTTTATTTGCCTCCCACGGGGTGAGTGTCGCTTCTTTCCGGGAGCTGCAAAATTAAGCTGGCTGGAGTCAATGATTCTTTCTGTGAATGTCTTTTCACCACAAAATCTGGCCTGGGGTCTGCTTTGTCGGAGAGGCAGAGCCCATGATTTGGAGCCCAGACGTGGGATGGGGCCTTTCAGCTCTAGAGCATCGTTCGGAATCAGTCTGCTTGGGCAGACACCAAGCCGCATGGCAGCTGGCCTGTTGAACGGGGCAGGAGTCGTCTGCGCTGGAGGGAGGGCAGGGATCTCTGCCTAGCTCCCAATGGGGCGGGGCACACATCACACCAGTCCATCACCACGGCTGGCAGTAAGAGGGGCCCATCCCAACAGAGCTTGGGGCACAGACTGAAGAACCCAGAGAGTGGGCAGAGAACCGCAGCTCTGCCCTCAGGTCTGGAGGGGATGCCATCAGGTCCCGGGCAAAGGTGGCAGTGGGTGGGGGGTGGTTTTGAGGGAGAGGCAGTGCCCCCTGCTGTTGTTGCATGTCGCATCTCTGTTCGCTGGGTGCAGAAGGAAGTTCGGCTCGCAAGGCTGTCGGTCTGACACTGAGGAGAAATGAACGTCCTGTAACACCTGTGTCTCACACATGCTCCCCTTCACACAGTCTCTCTCTCTCACCAAGTGTAGTCATCCCATGCCACAATAGGGAACTGGCGCAGTGAGCTGAGCGTCCTGGGCAGTGACTTACTGACACGTGTTGTTTGTGTTTTGGAACAGGGGCAGGTAGCAGTGTGCATCACAAGTGTAACAGTGCCAAACACCGCATCATATCCCCAAAGGTCGAGCCAAGGACAGGTGGGTACAGCACTCACTCAGAGGTACAAAATAATGATGTCTCTGAAGGGAAGAACGAGCACAGCCACGGCAAGACCGCCAGCCGGGAGAAGAGGAATGGCAAAGTGGCAAAGCCTGTGTTGCTCCATCAAAACAGTACTGAGGTCTCTTCCACCAATCAGGTGGAAGTTCCTGACACGACCCAGAATTCTCCTGTGTCCATCAGCAGTGGATTAAATAGTGACCCTGACATGGCTGACAGCCCAGCAGTCACTGGTGTTTCCAGCATGGCCGTTGCCTCGGTGATGGGAAGTTTGTCGCAAAGTGCCACGGTGTTTATGTCCGAAGTGACCAGCGAAGCCGTGTACACCATGTCGCCCACCTCTGGCCCAAACCAACACCTCCTCTCCTCAGACGCCGCCGCACAAGGACTGGTTCTGGCTGTGAGTTCAGATGGCCACAAGTTTGCTTTTCCCACACCAGGCAGCTCAGAGAGCTTGTCCATGTTGCCCCCCAATGTCTCCGACGAGCTGGTGCTCTCTACAACTCTGGATGGTAGCAGAAAAATTCCAGAAACCACCATGAATTTTGACCCGGACTGTTTTCTTAATAATCCCAAGCAGGGACAGACTTATGGTGGAGGAGGCCTGAAAGGAGACAGCATTAGCACCAACATAAGACAGTCACCCACAACAGAACGTGGGTTCAATTTCAGTGCAGCCCTAACTAAAGAGATTAAAACTGAGGACACTTCTTTTGAACAGCAGATGTCCAAAGAAGCGTTTTCCTCCACTTCTGCATCCAGTTCTCTCACTCTCACGACAGGTTCAGGTCTGCTTCCCTCTGGAGGCGGCCTGAGCCCAAGTACCACCTTGGAGCAAATGGACTTTAGTGCCATTGACTCCAACAAGGACTATTCTTCCACGTTCAACCAGACAGTCCAGAGTCCTCATGTTCACCAAACCCCTTCCCCTAGCTTCTTTCTGCAGGATGCCAGCAAACCTCTCCCTCTTGAACAAAACACCCACAACAACTTGAACGACACAAGTGGCTCTTTTGTGAACACTTTAGGAATCCCCAATGTGAAAACGGAGTCCTCTTCCCAAACAACCTCGAATTGCAATGGCACAGTGGAAACTAGAATAGAGTCCACCTCCTCTCTCCAGCTCATGCAGTTCCAAGCAAACTTCCAGGCTATGACTGCAGAAGCTGAAGTTCCCATGGAGACCTCCCAGCAGGCAGAGGGGAATGAAAATCTTCTGAAATCAGGGGATCTTCAGGCCTGTAGCACAGAGCACTACATGCAGCCTGAGGCCAACGGGGGTCTCAGGAATGGGAATAATCTCCCTATTCTCCAAGGAAATATGGTACAAGGACTCTACCCAGTGGCCCATCCCTCCTCCAACATGGAGCTGAATTTGGACCACTTTGACATCTCCTTCAGCAACCAGTTTTCAGATCTTATCAACGATTTCATCTCAGTGGAAGGCGGGAGTAACACCATCTACGGGCACCAGCTGGTGTCCGGTGACAGTGCTGGGCTCTCTCAGCCTGAAGATGGCAGCAGAGCGCCCTATACCCAGGCCGAGATGTGCATCCCGTGCTGCAGCCCGCAGCACGCCAGCATGCAGCTCGCCAGCGCCGAGAGCGGAGCCGGCACCATGGCCTACATGCACGTGGCTGAGGTGGTCTCCGCAGCCGCAGCACAAGGCACCCTGGGGATGCTGCAGCAGAGCGGGCGCTTGTTCATGGTGACAGATTACTCCCCAGAGTGGTCTTACCCCGAGGTAAGCGGCTAGACTTTCCCCATCCCTTAGCTCGGACGGGCTCCGGGACCCCGCCTGTGAGCTCTGCCACGGCTTTTAAATGTCTCCTCTGAGACCCACGCGCATGTGAGGTCATTTGGGGGAAGCAGCCCCTGGCCTGACCCGGCTTCTCTCCTCACACGCCAAGCGTCAGGCCAGACACGCGTGTTCCACAGAAAGCAACGTGTCTCCCATGTTCTGCCTGCCCAGGGCTGCCAACTCGTGCAGAGAAGTTGGGCCTGCTGCACGGTGAGCCTGGCGCTTACATCTGTAGCGCTCTGAACGCTGCCACCAGCTACACATCTGGCCAGGAGCTCCTTAGGTCCCCTGCTTGGCTGGGCCCGCACCTCCCCTGGGTGCAGGCATGTGCCCCAAGGGCTGGAAATGCCAGCAGTGCATGAAACCCTGCTGCTGGCTGAAGCCCATGATAGTGAACAGCCAGGCCCAGGCCCAGGCTCTGGCTCGTCAGGGTAGAGGCAGCGGCCCAAGAAAAGGCAGCTCTGCTCTAACTGGTCAGAGCTCGCTGGCGAGCCGTCCGTCGAGTGCTTGCATGGACACTCCTGTGGTCTGAAACCGCTGGCAGGGCTTGGTGGGGGTTTGTGAGCAGGCAGGAAGGCGCACGGCGGTGGGCGGGGGAGGAGGTGAAGTGCACCAAGCTGTCTGAACGGGCCTCCTGATAAGTCAAAGCTGCTAAGGGGCTGGGGACCAGGTACCTTTCCGAACGCCTTCCCCTCACACCTGCCCGGGAGAAGGGGCGCAGCGGAACGGGCAGTGTCCCCCACACAGGGGCGCTCTAGGATCACAGACGGCGAGCGCCCCGTCAGTGGTAAGCAGACGGCTTCGTGGGGGAGCTGTCGCATTCCAGTCAGTCGCATTTCTGCCTCACCCAGACCTGCCCAGCCAGAGAAGCGTCCGGCTGCAGGCTCCGTGTGCGGCTTACACGCAGAGCACACACGTGATCAGGCACTCAGACGTGAGTTGGCCCGCACATCACAGATGTTGCTAGGGAGGTCGTGGCTTTCTGAGGCTACATCTAGACTGCATGCGTCTTGCACAAGAAACTTTTCCCGGAAACGATGCACTTTTGCGAAAGAGAGCCTCCAGACCGCGTGGACGTGCTCTCGAAAGTAGGCTCTGATTGCTATTAACCCAATGACCACCAGGGCACCTGTGCTTTTTCCTCTTTCCTCTTATTGCACAAAAAACCCCTTCCCCGTCCACACACACCTTTTTGTGCAAGAGCTCTTTCACAAAAAGGTGTTCTTCCTCGTAGAATGAGGAAAACCTCTGCCGGAAAAACCCTCTGTTCTTTTGATTTTTTTGCGCAAAAATGCACTTGAGGTGTGGACGCGCCACGAGTTTTTCAGTAAAACTCTGTAGTGTAGACATAGCCTGAAAGAGGAGATGGAGGTTTGTTGAGGCCTGACGCCACACTTCACTCAGTGGGGTCTGGACTAGCTCTGCTTCTGTGATAAACTGATAGGCAATTGGTTATTGATGATCTACCAGGTATTGTTAGTAGCAATTTCCCATCCACTGGTCCCCAGCAAGAGCCTGGAAATCCGTCCAGTTTGTGTCTGGAGGTGGGTTTCTTTATCACAGCATGATACGCTGATGTGGAAGGCCCTGTGGTATTTTTTCAAAACAGACTGATTATTTCTTGGTTTAATGCTGTACAAACGCAGTCACATGCCGCAGAGCAACGAAGCCCCTCTGAAAATCAGTGCCGATAACGAAATGAAAAGCATCCGGCCTTTGGATTCTCAGAGGTAAATAGCTCTGCTGCCCGGGGAAGTGTTTCCTTCCCACACCCCCAAACCATAACAGACTTTTAGCTGCCACTTGTGGGGCTGGCCTGGCAGCTGTCATTTCCCCGGGGAGTCCCTTCCCCTGCTCCCCCTGCCAGTGGGTTTCACCAGACTAGACAGCAAGGCACTTTGCAGGGGAATGGAGCCTGCATTGCGCAGGGCAGCGTGGAGAGGCCGTGCTCAGGGCAGGCAGGAGCCAGAGGCCAGAGGGACGTATCGCGCTGAGTCAGCACTGCTACCTGGCGCAGTGAGACCCACCTGACTGCGCACCTGCCTCAGCTGCGTGAACATTGATTCATCCTGCAGAGCCCAGTGACCCGTAGCCATAGGCAGGGAGCCTGCCAGAAACTCTGGGCCTGCTGGGCGAGTTACTCTTCCTTGTCCACGAGGCTCTCTGGGAGCTGGCTCAGGCTTCGTTTCCTTCCTGTCCTTTGGTCTCAGGCCTCCTCTTTTCTTCCTGGCTCTGCACTGCCCTTCCCCTTTCGCTCCAGTCTCTTCGCCTTTGGTTCCTTTAGCCCAGAACTGAGCCACGGAGCCATTCAGGTCTTGACCAAAGTGACCAGACTGTTCTCTTCTGCCCGGGGGATTTACCAGGGGTTCTGTCCCTCCCCGCCCGGGCTCCCCAATGGGCCAGATCAGGCCTTGGCCTGTGGAAAGGAGGCTCATTCTCCTTGACTTGTGCAGCAGCTGCCCACAAAGCTGGAACTGTTCCGTGCAGCGTGTGCCCGCTGCCTTTGCTGGGTGGCTCCACTTGGCATTCCCCAGGGAGCGGGCTCTGCTGCCGGGTGCAGGCCAGAGCCTGTCAGAGGGTTTACGCTGGCTGCCGAATCCATTGCTCCAATTACCGTTTTCAGGGAGCTGCTCCTCCCAGTGCCTGGAGGCAGAAGTGGGACTCCGGTCTGAGCATGACCAATGAGCAGACCTTGTCTAGGGTGAGCATCTCCTTCTTCCCCAGGTTTTCTCCACAGAGGAATCTTCTGCCTTCCTTCCCTCCATCCATCCATCCATCCCCATGTTCTGCTCTCTCCGGAGGTGAGCACAAGGACAAAGCAATCGATCATGTTGGGCCCTGTGGGAGCAGGACACACGCAAGAAAGTGTGTCAGTAATAAACCCAGCATGAGCACTAGTCAGCACCGCCGCCAGGCCCTGTAGGTGTATCTGCACTGCAGCCCAAGCCCCGGTTAGTAGGGCTGGAGTTTGCAGACCCCCGGTTTGCTAACCGAGGGCTGGAGCATCTCCCTCCTCCCCCCCTTTGCAAGCCCAGGTGAGAAATTGTTGAACTCCGAGTCAGCCTGGGGCTCCACGTTATGCAGGCAGGAGTCCCCCAAGCCATATTCCAGACTTCCTTGTGCCCATCTGAAATCCGGCCTCGCTAGCCCTTTGATCTCAGTGCAGTGGGGGGACTTGATAGTCCAGAGGACAGATAAAGGCTCCCCGTGAGGTTGTCTCCCAGAGCATGAGCCTGGTGGGGCTGCATTTACACAGCAAAGCAAACAAGCTTGAACCTGGGTCCCAGTTTGACCCCCGCTGTGGAGTCTTATGGGCCTGGGCAAGCCGCAGCTCGGGCATAGATGGAAGGACAGGTAGGCTTGAGCCTGAGCTTACGTTGCAGACAAACCCTAAGTGCCGCCCAGCTACTCCTGCACAGGCAGCAGCACCAATCCTGGTCTTTTGCGCTTTCTCCTGCCCCCGTGGCAGCACTAGGACCCTTTCCCACGACATGGTCCCCAGCCCCCCCGGCCCGGCCTTTCCAGGAGCTCCACCAGGGAGCATCATCCCAAGGGCTCCTAATGGACACGAATAACATTGAAATCCTCCTGCGGCCCGTCTTCCTATTGCAGGTGGGGAGAAGTTCCTCCCTCCTGTCCGCTCCCATCCGTGTCCCTGATTTTTGTTTTTTCCAGCACAGATTTTGTGGCTTTCACATCTCAGAAGGTACATTGTTCCCATTGTCTGAGCTGGAGAAGAGCCAACATTCCTCGCTGCACCTGCTCTCCGCCCAGGCAGGCTGCCTCTTCCCCTGCCTCCTGGAGAGGACCTAAAATCTCTAAAATCTCGTCTCCCTTTTGGTGCAAATCCTGCCTTTTATGCTGCTGTCGTGGACACCTGAGTGTTAGCTAATTGAGTCACTAACTCACCAGTGGCCCCTCTTCCTCAGGGAATCTGCTGTTATTTTCCTTGGAATGATCCCCTCCCTCCAATTCTTCTATGGCCAGAATCAGTTTCAACAGGCTGAATCTGGACACCAGTTTCGACTTACATACAGATTCAACTTAAGAACCCCAGGCGTCCCCAAGTCAGCTGCTGCTGAAACTGATCAGCGGCTGATTCCAGGAAGCCCGGGGCAGTTCTCAGATCTAATGTTGGGTCCAGGACTCACAGCTGGAGTGCAGGGTCCCAAGTCTCGAATCCCACGCAGCTCAAAACATCACATCAGATGCTGAGTTTCTTTACTGATGCACAATATTGGTTATGTACAACTGCTGAGCAGTGGAGAGAATTTTGTTTCTTGCATTAGTCCCCATAGGGAAGAGAAATTGCTATCTTACTGCTCCTGTGCTGCTTTTCCTGTGTTCCAGATTTGTAGGGACTCCAGAGGGTTCACGGCAGTGTTCACCTTCTACAATGATTCTAGCACAGAGCTAGGGTTGCAAGATGGCTTAATCAAAAATATTGAACACCTCCCCCCAAAAAAAAACACTGGGGGGGGAATTCTGTTGAGGGGGGGAAAAAGGGGAAAAGACCAAAGTTGTTGAGAAAAAAAAAAAAAAAGGACCCCAAGAGTTATTAAGCAAAATAAAAACATCATTAAAACAGAATGGCCCCCCTCCAGCAGACCAGGCTTTTCTCTGGACGCCTGTGGTAGAGCAGCTGGGGCGCTGACGGTTGTTTCCGCAGCGCCGCTCTGGGCACTACTGGACCAACCCGGCAGCACCCAGCTGCTCTGCCCCAGGCATCCTGATTCGGCCACTGCTGGTCAGTTTCAGCAGCAGCTGAATCAGGACGCCTGGGGCAGAGCAGCTTGGGTGCTGCTGGGTTGGTCCAGTAGTACCGAGGAGCGGTGCTACTGGAGCAACCCAGCAGCACCCCAGCTGCTCTGCCCCAGGCGTCCCCAAGTCAGCCGCTGCTGAAACTGACCAGCACTGACTACAGGAAGCCCGAGGCACAGTTG